GTCCGTGCAAGACCCCTGAGCCAGGGGTCATCTCGCGTGCCGAGCCGCATAGTTAACCATAATAAGTGCGATTTCTAGAGGTAGTGGTAGGCAGAGGTTGATAAAATCACTCACTGAACAAGTCTTGAGCTGGAGCTGTGCAATTGCTCCCGTACAGCACACAAGGGATGATACTAGTCAATATCTTGTTTTTTTGGTCGCAGTGGCAGGGTATATCAGTGGAATTGCATGTTGTAGTTGCGATAGCTTTGGTGTCGCATGGGAGCTGGCCGATCATCAATACGGCTTCGAGGAGCAGAGGCGGTACTTACCACGCAGGGAGGAATCTTTGAAGCCTGAGGACCCGTTTGTGCCACGATGAGTGTGACAAAGTTGAGAACACCGACAATTGCGGCGAGGAGGTGCATTGTACTGGGCGTAGGAGTCTAGGACTTGGATTTGGAGGTAGCAGAGGATGATATCGTGTGCAGACTTAGAGAAGGTTCAAAGAAGTTGAGCAGCACTTGGTCGAGCTAATGCACGGCCAATAAAAGCTCCTCCATTCAGTTTCAAGAAGGCTCCTGATTGGCTCAATTGTAGTTCACCTGCAGGGTCTTTGCATGGACGTAGAATGTCCGGCATCAGCTCGCTTAACGCTTCCCTTCTTCACCTGTCCACACACCTCAGATTCACTCAGTTTCGCGAATGTCCAGCTCAAAGTTGGTACAATTTCTAGTCACAATGTTCGAAACTTTCTTGGATCTTACGGAGATCATACAATTTATGCTAAGATCCAGTCTTGAGAAAAGGCACCATAGCTTCACCCGTTTTTATCTCTAAACTCAGTTTCAAATGACTGGAATTGCAACGAATTTCATTTCCTTCCTTAGATCTTTTCACTTTCAGTTGACAGGAAAACTTCATACTGCAGGCACTGTCATCTACACAAATGAACCCCTCCTATCCTGTCCGACTCCATCCACTCTCCACCATATCCAAAGTTCTTTTGGTAGCCTCGTCCAAATCATCCTTCGGCAACCCAAGCAACTCATTGTCCAAACCTCTAGTGGACTCATAATCTCCATCTCCGTTCTGAAAGAAGATACGAGAATACATCTGCTTGGCAAGCCCAGTTCTGACTCCGCTCTTCATCTCCGCCTTCCCATTCTCGTAGCGCGTGATACTTGGCTCAGAATCAATCTCCCAATCCTTGTCAGTCGTTCCAGTGATCCTGTGAATACTATCCAGCATATCACGCTGGCTGACCTTGAAACTATCAATGTACAAAGCCTTGTTCTTCCACTTCGAGACAGTTGGCGACTTGTCGTTCTCATCCTCGGGAAGTTCTTTCAAGCTCAACAAACCGGCAAGAGCACTTCCGCATCGAAGCCAAGTACTGACATTGATGCGAGTCTTTCCATCGTCGAAGAATGTCACCTTTTTGTTCTTGACATCGAATCCAAACCATGGCGGAGGGCATGCCAAGCTCCATTCATACCAAAAGCCACAAACTAGTATGACATAAGAGCTGACGCCCAAGCTCTCGATCTCCTTGTATCGTGAATCCACGTCATAGATGCGATCTTTCATGAGACGCTCGTTGAAGACGTCGCTGCCATAAATGTTGGGCATGACATATGGCACACCTGCTTTTGCTGCAGCCTTCACCAACTTGGAGTGTGCATCTGGAGGGGCAGAGACCGACAGAGTGATAGCAAGGAATTGCTGTCCTTGAAGAGCAGCTACCAAGGTTTCTTCGTCGTCGTAATTGATTGGAGCTGCTTTGACGCCATTTGGAAGCACACTCTTCGACTCAGCTCGGACGAGAGCTGTCACTGTATGTTTTCCTGTTTTCAAGAGAGCTTCTGCGAAGTGACTTCCGATCCGGCCACCGATCTGGTCTTTGTTAGCTACAAGCTACATGAGATTTAATTTGACTTACTCCTACAATCGCAACTCTCTCAATGCGATTGACAAAGCCTGCAGGCTGATCCTTGGCATATTGTTGGGCCATGTTCAAACGGAGCTCGTTCTGCGTGAAAGAGAATGATGAGGAATGAATTGATGAAGCTTTGAATGGAACATCTCGATCCTTTATTATATAATAGTGAAGAGAGTATAGTCCGGAGTTAATGCTGGACTTAAGTTGACCATGGGACTTCTCCGAAAATGACGCTAACCTCGTTTCGCATTCATCGCAACCAAATTGGTTCAATCAGGACACTAATCCTCTGGCCTTCCCGACATAGGGTTTCGAGATAGTGGTTGTGAGGCTTTTGACGGGGATCGAGACAGACTGCGCCCGATTGTGTGACATTCGCAGAGCCGGACTAAAGACAAGATTACCAATGTACAGATACCTTGAATGAGAAGCAAGCTCTGGTCACGACTCCGATTCTTCTATCGTCCGATCATGGCTGTCAACTTTGACACTTGACATGATGTACGTAGATCAAGCAGGAGCAAAGGCCGAGTTCAACAGATGCGAAGCAGTCCCACAATTCGCTTAAAGCCATGGACATTAGGATCTTGAATCGAAAGCAGCAGGGGATCAAATGAAGCTGAGAACAAAATCAATCAAGGTATTGGCTTGATAACCCAGATTTTTGATGGTCCGTGAACAAAATCGCAAGAAGAAAGAGTGGGTAACTGAGACTAGAGTCTCTTTACAGTGATTCATCGCTATCTACAAATTGAACTGCAGAACTGTAATCGAATATCCTCTGGACAACACATCAGTGATAAACTTCCCGAACAAAGGAGATACTTACGGGACATCCCAAATCCAACTACCATCTGAAGCAGGCTTCGTCGAAGTGAGGTTCAGTGGCTGTGGAGTAATTGCGGTCGCATTGTTCTTGTAATTGAATCCATTTGGATCGGCATTCGTCATGATAGATCCATTGACCGATGTCCACTTAGATTCGATCGCAACGTTCAGAGGAACGGTTGTCGCATTAACATTTCTATCGTGATCAGCTCAATCAAAAGAAGAAATGCTGCAGACTTACATGACCTTCAAAAAGACGCTCTCACCACCATCTACGGACGACGCCCAGTACAATGGTCCAAAGTCTCCCTCGGAATTCGTCACTTCCACAGATTCTGTCCCACGATACTCATTAAACAGCTTCTGAAGGTAGTAGCTAACACTCAACACTGTATGTAAGGGATTGGCATCAAATGCAACCAGATTCGGTGTCCAGTTATACCAATTCCAGTTCTGTAAGCTTGGTGCATAGGAACTCAGCTTGACGACATTTGGATTCCTTTCCGCACCAAGTAAGTATACACCCTCTGCGATGGCCGAAAGAAGACGAGGATAGAAGATGTGAATGTCTGAAGGATCCGAGAAGTTGTCCACTTCGGAAGGAGTATCGATTTGGAACACAGAATATTCTCCAATGAAAACAGTGACGTTGGTGTTGTTGGTCGATTCCTGCCAGTTATCGTAAAAGTCGAATCCGTCGATGAAAAACGCAGGAGGCTCATAGTGATGCGTGTCCCACATGGCTCCCTCTGGAATGTCAATCGTGTAGTCCGCATTTTCGTTGTACGCCGTGCTGATGTAAATGATGTCTGGATACGCAGCTTTCAATCCATCGTAGAGATACTTGAATCGGAATGGGTAATTCTGGCCGAACCAATCTTCGTTGCCAATCTCGACATATTTGATATTGAAGGGTTCTGGGTGGCCATATTCTGCACGCTTTCCGCCCCAGTAAGTGTCTGTCAAGCCCATGCAGAACTCAAGTTCGTCCAGGGCTTCCTTCAGCAGTGGGTACAGGGCGGCATCGGACGAGGGGTATTCATTAGCATCGCCTTCATCAGAATCTCCAAGAGAATAACCACTGTAAATGGCAAGGACATTCTCCATCTCCATTGATTCGGTCCATTCGAGAAATTCCATCAAGCCAAGGCCGTTGGTATTGTAATATTCTAGGCAAATCAGCAATGTTCCTTAACTGTCAGAACAACTCACCCCAATTTCCTGGTCTTGGCCATCTATCCTCAAGAGGTCCAATCGTCTCCCACCACTTCCACCTTGTTTGAAACGAGAAGCCCTCAATATTGTTTCCACCTGGCCATCTCAGAAACTTTGGCTTCAAGTCGTAGATGTTCTGAGCCAAGTCCTTTCGCAAACCATTCTGGTAGCCCTTGAATGTTTCTCCAAACAAACTGATCTGGTCAAAGTAGTATGTCTGACCTGCTGCAGCTGCAGGATCGAACGTGATGGCGAGAGTATTATTGGAATCTGGAGCAGAGACATTGCTGACAAGCTCTGTAGAGATGAAAGTGTAGTTCACGACGTTCCAAGATTGTGCTGGGATCACTGTCGATGCAAAGATTTCTCCAGTAGTGTTCGACTGCAAAGAAATGGTGATGGCAGTCGCCAAGTTGGCCTGATTCTTAAATTGATCTGGGTAGACGAAGAAAGAGACGTTGTATGTCTGTGGTGTGACGGGAATGCCCCACCAGCCTAGGTTGGCGAACCCAACAGGCTCTGAGCCCGGAGTCGTAGGTATATCCACTGCGAGCACGGTCCGGTGCGAATATGTCAATGGGTGGAAGGCATCGAGGCGAATTTGTGTTCCTCCTAGTGGTTTGTAACCCGTGATGACAGGACCTGAAGCGTCAGTACGGCTCAAGAATTCGGGAGTTCACCAACCTGTTGCTTCACAAGTGTTTTCCTGGTATGTGATGCTTGGTCCTGTAAAGCCCGGAATTGTTCCCCATCCAATATTTGACCCATCGAAGGCTCTGTTGGTCAGCAACTCTCCATAAAGACCACCATCACCAGAATGGTTGATATCCTCAAACATCCAGCCATAGAGATCGGGAGCTGTGGCATTTCGGACCCCAGTCTTCGTGAGAATATCGAGAGATACCGCACTTGAGTTGCCGTAAGCTCGGGGGACATTCTCAGCCCTGGGATACTTGGGACCCGCTGATACAGCCTGAGAACAGATGGCAGCAGCCAAGCATATACGTGAGAAAACAGACATGGTGACACAGTGCTGGAAGCAAGCTCAACACAAGGAAATGGAAGAAAGGCATACTTATACCTCCGATCATGACTCCGTCACTCCATGGACGGTCACGGAAAAATGTATCCTGCCCCAGATCGATGTGTGCGGAGAGGAGTGTCTGACGGCAAAACAAGCATCTTTCTTCGTGATGGCATCGTGAAGATCAGCTTCCAATTGTATGCGCCCCAATCATCAGTTGATGTAGTGGGTGGGCCTGCATTGGCGAGGTGGGGTAGCGCCTCTGCGGGGAATTATGGTTTATCCGCGCCTCTCCAGTCCCGAGTCCGATTCCAACTTGAAAATGTTCAGGTACCACGACCACGGAGAATGGCTGGGCTCCATCAAAATGCTGGTAGCAAGGAGTTAAAGACGTGAGAGTCGCAGGTATGCTCTTCATCGCAGTTCTCCCCATTGTCGTTGACTCTTCTGATCTTTCTTGTCGCAGAATCCAGTCTCGAAAACCCCGAAATCTTCGTAGGCTCCTCGACTGGCCCAGCCATCTTTCCCCCAGCGGATGAAAACCACAAAACATCGAGTCCAGATTGATCGTACTTTGCAGCCGCAGACTACTCAATCGAACAAAATCGCAGAGCGGATAAAGAGGTGGTGTATTGAGATCTGGGCCATATCTCCTGTCGAAGATGTCTGCTGCTGGGTGACGTGGGAGTCCATGAAACCCTAGGAAGTCAAGGCGGTGATGTGTAGTGTTCACAGCCTGCCTTCTTTCTCGATAACTTCTGGTTGAGACCCGAAGTTTGGGAAGTTCTATTCTTTCCAGCACGAGAATAGGGTCCTTTCGTTGAATCCTCCTATGCGAGCTTCACAGACCTCTTTAAATTTCCCACGATTTCTCGAACACCCGGCTCCAAGTTGGACATTCATACAGAGGCGGACTTACGTCAAGCCAGATGTTGATAGGGACATCAATTGGACACCAATGTTGGCCATCCCAAGTGGCATGTAGCCTAGCTGATGGAATGGACATGCAGTCCTTGTCCATACTACCAACCGAGATGGTTGCGGTACAACTCCTTCTCACAAACATCTCAGCGCTCTATATCATTGAGTACTTTATGGAAATGCACGCAGTATCCAGAAGTCCCTTTTCGTCTCCTCTCATCACATGCTTCTCCATGACCAGATTCCTCGGCAGACAAGGTACTTCCCCAGATTTCCCCGCCCCAACCAACACGCTGATCATTCATGTTCCTTGCAGGATCCCGGACTTCATCCGCCATCCAATTCTTTACACTTTCTTTAATCCAATTTGAGGTTCCTCCGATGCGCTTTTCATCCAATCGCAGAAGGTTTCGGCTGCTCTTGCTTCTGCACAAGTCCCGTGAAGAGGACTTGGTCGGCGATTTTCACGAGGGCATCGTCTTCACGAGGAGAAGGCTTCCATGTCGTCATGCGGGGTCGATGACTTGATATTCCTCGAGACCACAAATGTTATGCTCGCAAAGGCGGACCCTGGCAAGTGGTTATGATCTCCACGATGTGTCCTGGTTTTGGAGCAGTATTTATATCAGGCTCTTGCCTCGCTGTACTCTAGCTCTATCTCAGGACTTGTGTAATTTCCTACAACGTTGAGTACACTAGCCTCCACCGAGAGCCTCAACTCAAAATTATCGTTATCAGGACACTCACCATGCATTTCTCAATGCTCCCAACGATTCTGTTGGCTTTTGCTGCAACACAAGTCCTTGCAGATGGTGCCGCCATCGTTTCTGCCATCGACACTATTTCAAGCGCCACCACAACCCTCAACGATACTGTAACCGCCTTTCCATCAAACCCACTCCTGGCGCTAGGCGATGTCCTCCCTCTACTTACCGATTCCACCGCTCTCCTCAACGACATCAACTCAGCGACAAACACCGCTAAGAGCTCGGCAAACCTCTCAACCGCAGAAGCATTCAATGTTGCTGTAGCGACTCTTTCCTTGCAATCCACGGTCGAGAGCGTGCTAGACAATATTGTCAGCGCAAAATCAAGATTTGACAAGTTGTTGATTGTTAGTCCGGTAGTGTTACTGAATCTGAAGTTGGAAAAGCAGGCCACGGATAACTTCGCTGCGGCTGTTGTTAGCAAGGTGCCGGCGGCGTTGCAGAGCACGGCAGAGAGTTTGATCACGCCGATTGATAATGCATTTACGGCAGCGATCAGTGATTATGAGTAGTTGGGGCTATTCAGTCAAAGGGTGGAGGAGATGTACTTTCACTGAATTGAAGATAGGGTGCTAGATGGAATTCTTGGAGCCTTGGGAGCAGCTGCGGTCCATTCCAGGTACAGCACATGATTATACGTATGGAATTGGAGTGAAATGCGGCTTGAAATGATGTTCATAATCGCTCTGAATTTCATAATTTGCCTTCAGTCTTGAAGATATGTCTTGCAGCTGATTCAAATACAACAAGTACCATCTCGAACTTGACTGGGAAGCCTGTTCCTGGCGTCTTTTGTGCTGAAGAATTAATCGAAGTTTGTTCTATAGAACTACGCAGGAAGCAGGAATAAATACAGCAGATGTTGCAAGAGAGGGTGTAAACTGTCTATATGTTCAAACATAGAAGTACTGAAATGCCATTTGAATTGTCAATCAGACATTATGCATACATCCAGGAAAGGCGGTCGCGAAACGACGAGGACTGTTGTGCCTCTCAATGCAGGGTCCAGGCGAGTAGCCATTAAAATGTGTATTATAAGCTTCCAAAGAGGAATGTGAGGTTGCGGTCGTTCTGTGGTTAGTGCTGCCAAGCTTTCGGAGTTGCAAACACCTAACATTCAGCCTTCTGTTCCTACATCAACACCAAGAATGAAGACGCCATGGTATCAACATATCCCCGCTCTTTAATTCCATTGAATTCGACAACAGCTGACGTGAACTGATTAGACCTCTGACGGCTCAATTGTTCGGGTCGAAACTACCAGCGTTGGCAGAGTAGAGCCTCCTGCATTGACAAGCAAACCCCCTGAGCGCGATGCGTGGGATCCCACGAACCACAAGACTGGGCATTGAATCGCCCCTCGGCGCCCCCGATGTGCAGCTCGATTCAATATACATGCAAAGAAAGGAACGGGCATGGTTCTGAGCGAAACCGAAGAACAGCTTCCCAAGGAGACGAGCTGCTGCTATCTTCTGGAAGGACTCAACACCCAGCAACCTGAAGGAAACATGCAGAAGGCTTGCAGGGCTGTAGTATCGCATATGGGCAAGTGCTCAAATACAGGGACTTTTCCCATCCATCTTCGACTGCATCGATTCAATTTTTCACTCAATAAATGCGCCGCAAGTCTGCTTTCGCTACTGTTTCCTGAATGTACAAATCAGCTCCGGACAATTGTCTTATTCCATTCTACAATTTCTGTCGGCCGTCGGTCAAGAAGGGTTTATGTACGGCACAGTGCGGCGCGATTACGAAAACCTCAGTCATAATCTCTTTTATTGCACCAAGACGCCGCGCCGCAGAAGATGGGAAAGTCGCATGAACTCCGTCGCCGTCGAGCAGCACCACATGGCAACTTCTACTGTACCCGAGTAGCCACCACGTTGTACCACCGTCTACCACCCTCAAACGGCATCCCGCAGTGCTACGGACGTACAGCTGGAATCGGCTTGGCTGGACCTGGTTTGCTACCACATTCTCTATGCGGCTAGCCGAACCAGGCATGCTTCAAGCCTCGGTGAGATCATCACCACTACCACCACCATCACCATTATTTCATAGCTCTCGCTTACCCCTCATTTTTCTCTCCAAGTGGAGATAAACTGATGTCGACCTCACAGGGAAATTTGGACGGGGCAACCCCTTCCCGATTGCGATTACGTTGGGTACCTGCATATCTGACTTAAAGGTGACGACAATCCCCGTAAGTATTGAAGCTGCTTTCCACTTGTCCACCATCAATTCCAGCTCCAGCTCCTACGTTTGCGAGTCCTGGGCCACAAAAGTTGAGAGATCAATCACTCAACTGTACTCTTTTCCTCTTCTATCTTGTTCATTTATTTATTTTCTGCGACGAGTTTGCAACCATGCATTTCCAATTAATTCCTTCCTGCTTTGCAATTGCATCTCTTTGTGGCGCGGCCATCGCGAGCTCGCAACTTCCTACAGTCGACCTTGGATATGCGATCTATCAAGCAACTATCAACGTGAGCTTCTATTCTCACGATTCAAGCCCCAATGGTTCCTAACAGATCAAGAATTCGGCAACTCCATATTACAACTTCTCCAATATTCGATATGGGCAGCCTCCAGTTGGTGCCCTGCGCTTCGCGCCCCCTCTCCCACCAGTAGGCCGCAACGCAACCATCAATACTGGTCAAACTGGCGTTATACCTGCACAAGCAAATCCAGGTGGGTTTCGATCCTTCGGAAGTCCTGCTCCTCTGACATTTTGAAGCCTGGGAAGTGATCGCTGAGCTTTTTCTCGATGCTTATTTGACGGGCCAGAACATCTCCGAGTTCACAAATGAAACTTCGGCCCTTGCTCTCCTGTCAAATTTAACTGCGCCAGCACCAGATCCTAGCGTCTCGGAAGACTGCCTCTTTCTCGATGTTATCGTGCCAGAAAAGATATTCAATGGAAGTTCGAGCGTGGGAAAGACTGTCAAAGCAGGTGCTCCTGTACTTGTTTGGATATATGGTGGTGGTTACACAGAAGGATCTAAGCTTTCTGCTGGTGATCCTGCCAGTCTGGTTGCCAGAAGCCAGCTCGATGGATCTGAGGGGGTCATTTTCGTTGCAATGAACTACCGTCTTGGTCTTTTCGTGAGTTTTTCACCTGTTTCGGAGATTCTATCTAACATTCCTAGGGCTGGCTTTCTGGGAACAGTGAGGTGACTGACAATGTCGGTCTTCTCGATCAAAGATTAGCTCTTGAATGGGTCCAGAGTAACATCCATCTATTTGGAGGCGACCCATCTCGAGTAACCGTCATGGGAGAATCAGCTGGAGGTGGATCTATCATGCATCACAGTACGTCAGACTCTGCCCTTGGTTTTCATTTCACTGGGAGCTTAGCCCCTTGGATAAGCTGCTCGGCTTCCAATCTTAGTCAGAAGGGTATTCTGATTTCTCAATAGTCACTTCATATGGAGGCAAAGGTCCTGCGCCCCCTTTCCAACAAGCAATTCCTCAGAGTCCTGCTTTCCAAATAATGGTCCCAGAGCAGAGCAAAGCAATTTTCTCCCAAGTTCTTGGTAACGCTTCGATCGTTGCAGGCAAGACAATCTCTTGCGCCGAAGATCTTCGAGCCCTTCCTTTTGAAGTGCTTGCTGCTGTGAACACTCTCATGGTTGGGAACTCGATGTATGGCACCTTCACCTTCGGACCGGTCGTTGATCCATCTCCAAATTCCTACGTTCCAGACTTACCCTTACGTCTTGTTGCTGAAGACAAATTCCACAACGTCAGCTTAATGGTTGGACACAATTCAGATGAGGGCCTTCTGTTCACACCCCCATTCGTCCAGACTCAAGCCGAATTCGTTGACGAATTTGCAACACTGTTCCCCACCGCCAATGCTTCAACAATCTCATACCTCACTGAGACATTGTATCCTCCTGTGTACGACGGAACTTACGGATATACCGACGCAATTGGTCGAACCTCATTGGCCATATCCGATTTCTTAGTTGGATGTAATGCACATTACTTGGCTTCCATGCTCTCACCGAGCTACGCATACCTATTCGCGGTTCCACCAGCTCTACATGGTGAGGATGTCCCGTACACATTCTTCAATGGAGACACGAGTACTTCGGATGATGGCTTGCCTGTAAGCAGTGAGGTTGCGACGGCTTTTCAGAGGTACTTGACGACGTTCGCAATGACTGGGACCCCAGTGTCGGAAGGGTTTCAGACATTTTCCAGGTATGGCCAAAATGATACGGTGACGGAGATCAATCTCGTGGATTTCGGGAGTCATATCAAAGACCCAGCTGCCAGATCTGTTTGTCAATTCTGGGCTACGGCACCTTATTACGTTGCTGGCTCGTCTTAGAGGATGAGTTCGTTTTCTGGTAGTTGCTGGCAGATAGAGGGATGAGCAATGATTGCCACATCTCGGCCAGACCCTAATTATAATCAAACGAAGTAACGATGATAATTTGTAGTCATAATGTAGACTCAAGATCATTCGGAAAACGTTTCTTCTTGTACAGCTACTGATTCATAAATCTACAAATTCGCTGAAGTCTCAGCATGAAGGAAAGGCAAAAGGGTATCGCTGCCCACATATCAAAGTCCAGTTCATCATCCCCAACGCCATCAAACAGGCCATTCAGTCTCCCCAATCGTCCCAAGAACTCTACAAATAAACAATCAAGTGATCCCGCAACTCCACACTACCTCAAGAAGCAGAATTGTACGGGTTTAGTGCACCTTCCAACGAATCCTCGAAATCCGGCGCTAAGCCAGTCCCCATCAAATCAAAGAACTGCTCATCCGACCTAGCCTCAATCCATTCCTTCATCCGCCTAGTCTCAGCATCCACCATCGCCTTCCTCAAACCTTCCAAGAAGGAGTACTTATCCTCTTCAAAGACCAGCATACAATAAATCTCATTGATGCGAATCATCTCTAGCGTAGCCTCGAAGTAGGCGTGACTGCATGGCCAAGGATACGTGGGGTGGTAGATGTTGGAGAGGTAGTCGAAAGCCAGGCGGAGGGTGGAGATGGTTCTGTATCGACGGGGTGTGATTGATTTCCACTTTTGCTCAACCTTTTCGATTCCTGCAATGATATTCTTGGCGCGAACATCGTGGTAGAGGCTTCGGTGCCATCTCATCTTGTTCTCGTTTTCTGGATCAAGAGAAGCGTATGAGTTGATCTCGCCACGAGTGTTTGATGCTGAGCGGTAGATATTTTCCATAACCTGAAAGATTAGCGTTCATTTCCATACAGGGTAGAGAGTACTTACAGCGTATGCATCGACAGCTTGGGTGGGATTATGTTGGTTGATGGGATAGTCGGTTGCACCTTTGATGTAACCTTCTCGAATCATATCTTCAACGCCGAAGGTGACCATTGTCTCAGTGATGGAGCGTAGAACTCGGTTCGCATCGAGGTAGGTAGTAAAAGGACAAGCCTTATGTATGGTCAGCTTTGATCCACTCATCACTCGAGTTTCTTGTCCACAAACCTTGATCTCAACCAAGAATCGCATTATCTGCTCGTTGTCCAAGTTCATAACCATCGTAGCAGTTGAACTCGCCAGCTGCATTTTCGTCTCAAACTTGTATCGCTCCTCTGGATCTTGGATGTCCCGAGATGTAAGACCGACGGGAAGCTTCCTGAGTTTGATTCCTGCGAGTGGATCTTCCGCGATGGTGGCATTGTCTTCCATTTCAGGGGAACCGCGACTCTCATCCATAGCATCAGGAGAATCTCTTTCATGCTGCACGAGCTGCGAACCAGGATACCATGGATAGACGGCAGAAACCTCGCCGGCATTGAGGTCACGCCAAAGGACATGGAGCTTTGCTTCCCGATGAGGTTGTCTTCTTGATGGAGTTGGAGATTCAGGCTCGATATCATCTTCAAGATCAATCTCGGATTCGAATTGAGCTTCAGCTTCCGTAACAGGTTCCGAGTCGGGCTTCGGGTCTTTTGGTGCGAGGTTGAGTTTGATGGTCACTCTCTGCGAACTCTTGTCAACTATGGATCTTGTCTCGAAAGATCGAACTTACTGTCTTAGAAGGACGAGGAGTAGGAGTCGAGGAGTCCATTATGCTTTCAGGTGAGCTCAGGCCGAGCCTTCGAAGTTGACGAGCAAGGGTAGCAAAGAAGATGTTTGTTTACACCGTATGTAAACGGAGTCAAGACAGGCAGTTTTGAGAAGAACTGTGCAATTGAAAGCCTCCAAGCCTTGGGAGAGCTAGAGAAGAAGAGAAGATTGTGTTGTTGGTTGGTGAGAAGAGGTAGAAGGTGCGAGATCGAAATTTCATTTGAAGTTGTTCCAAGGTCAAGGATACCTGAGCATTCACGTGAACTAAATCTCGAAAGTCCGAGACTAGGACAGACAATACTCCATTCAAAGAAGGGAGCGAGAAGTGTGCTACCGAGTAAAGGACTATGGCCTAAGGATTTGACTGTGACAATAAAAGAGGCCATAACGAATCATCAGCTTTCGCTCCATAAGATAAGTCTTCTGGTACACAACATTATGAGTACGATTATGCTGTAGGTCGAGTATCACCAAGTAGGTAATTTTCAGCACTTCAATCTAGAGTGCACAAGCATCTTCATGATATTAGAAGTGGGAGCGTTATGGTGATTGGATTACCTTCAGCTCAAAAGCCTAGCTCTCCAAGCATCCATGGGTACAAAGAAGCGAGCTGAGAATATGCTCGACGCCAATCAATGCAAATTGACAGTTTCAAAGCAGTTGTACATGGTTCAGGCAATCATACATACATTTACCAGTCCTCCTCATGCTCATCTTTCTCATCATCGTTTCCTAGATGCTCCTCAAAAACCTCGTCTCCCAAGTCCTCTCCCCCATCCCACGTCTGCAGGAGCTTTTCGTAATCCGCCATATATCCTTGAAGCTTCCAGAGTTGCATCTGCAATTCCACAGTCATCTTTTTATGCTTCAAAGCAACCACATCACGACCAAATATCCCGCTTCCAACATTCCTCAATTCGATCAACTTCTCCTCTCCGATAATATTTCTCAAGTTGTACACAGGCACCTTCCTCCGTTTCTTCTTCTCCCCACCTTTCAAGCCGCCCTCCATACCAAGATCCAAGGTTGCAAAGTCTGTAGGCGGATTAATTGGTTCATCCCCAATCCCGCCAGTCCAAAGAAAAGCTGCAACTGACGGTTTGCTTGCGGCATCTTCCCAATCGGCACAGCCAACCAAATAACCTCTCTTTAGACTGGCCAAGTCCACCAAATGCTCGACACAACGACGTCGCATGAGTTCGAGCACAAAGTCTTCCATATCTGGTCTCCATCTAGATGCCATGACCATCTTCATCGCCGGTTTCACGTCTCTCAGTCCTTGGGGTACCAGTCTATGATGTGCGCGCTTGTTTGATCCAGATCGGCTTGTGAAGTAGCCTCCAGTAGGATTTTGCATGGAGGACAGTGCTTTCCTATAATTAAGGGTATAGCTGGTTATTCCTTCTATCATTTTCGGCCTTTCCTCTGTCTTTTCCTTTGTATGTTTGCGAGATAAGCTCGCTGGTAGGAAGTATGGTACGCCTGTTATGGGATGCGATAGTATCTTGTAATCCTGGAGAAAATACTTTGGTACATTAACATCTGTCAAGCGGCATCTTCGCATGGGTGTACTGAGTGCCAAAGCATATGGATTTTTGGCAAGGTCTTGTTGAAAAGGAGTCAGGACGCCCGAAGGAGGTTGTTTTGGGATGCGGCGCTTTGCTTTTGCTTGCTGGAAGGTCGGATCCATGAGTGGGGATACTGGGAAGGTCGGAAGTGGTTCCAGCTTCGGCTTCGATGAAGTTTTGTGTGAACGTAATAGAGGAGTGTCTTTTGCTGCAGCTGCTGGAGAGCTATTCTGCCTGGATATAGATTCGACAACCTGATTGTTCCCTTCATCTGCAACTTTCTCGAGGCCTACCGATGCAGATAATCCGTCCTTGTTATATGCAGTGTCTGAATGCTGCTCCTTCTTCCATTCGACGTCGTCCTCTCTGTCTCTGTACATCGGCGTCCATCGTTGTCTTCGCTCCAAGATCTCGTAGGCATTGCCTCTTGCTGTAGTCGTAAGCCCTCTCAAGGTACCGCTACCTTTTGATATCGTACATCTGCTCATGCCACATGCTTCCTCTGCGGTGTTGTAGCGTTCTTCTTGTAGAGAGTGGCAGTATGTCGTGTGAGGTCAAAATAATTTTCTTCGGCTCAAAGTTCAAGCGAGGTCGCGCTTCACTTTTTAATCGCGTCTTCCAATCTCGACATTTGCATGCCCAACATCCCATTGACCATGTTCACGACAAGAATAGTACGGGCACCAGCTCGTAATGCCTTCCGATCAGGCATGCGATGCTTCTCCACACAGCCTTCGAGATCAGAACCGCCAAAAGCCTGGACGCCGATACCGTACATCACCGAGACCATCGTGAGCATCCCTACCTTTCTATGCTGCTTGGATGCTAACAATTCAGGGAGGTGGCTGGCGACAATCTGATATCTTCTCGAAGCTTTTACAAGAACGAATCGTTTGTCTGAATGGCGAGGTGAACGAAACCCTCTCTGCGGCCATCGTCGCTCAACTCCTCTACCTCGAATCCGATGCCCCCGAGAAAGCTATTACACTATACATCAACAGTCCTGGTGGTTCGGTTACTGCTGGCTTGGCGATATACGATACTATGACATATATACGGTCTCCAGTGTCTACAGTATGTGTTGGACAGGCTGCATCCATGGGTTCCTTGCTCCTTTGCGGCGGGGAGAAGGGAAAGAGATTCTGCCTCCCTAATAGCAGTGTCATGGTGCATCAACCTAGTGGCGGTTATTTTGGGCAGGCCAGCGATATTGCCATACACGCACAAGAAATATTGAGGGTGCGGAGGAAATTGAACGAAATCTTCAAGAGACATTTGACGAAGGAGCATACGCTAGAAGATATCGAGAGGATGATGGAGCGGGACAGGTTCTTGAGTGCCGAAGAAGCTTTAGACCTAGGCATTGTGGATGAGATCCTTGAGCGAAGGACCGAGGACAAGAAAGAGGAGAAAGAGGTAGCAATACATGAATGAATTCATTGATCAGCAATTGGCTCCTCGATATGGTATCATTGAACTTCGCTCATCAGCACCTAAAGCTTGGATTTCACTGCCGAATCACCAACTCGAGCTAGAATCCAATCTCCGACATCCTTCGCAAATACCGGCCTATCTTGAGGAAGATCGGCATGTAACTGATGATACCATCCCTCATACGACTTGAACTCTTTGTCTTCCACCTGAGTTTGTCTATCGAACCACTTCTTACTCTCTTCGTAGCTTGTGCCTTTATCCTCCGTTCCGTGGCCTAACCAAATGCTCTTGACACCCGGGTTCAGCTTGGCTATCCCCTTGTTCAAGTGTTCTGTCCTGTCCAGCATGCCTGACAAGCCTTCCAGAGTGCCAGTATCGTGGCACAGTTTATCATCCTTTAATGACTGAACAACCTCTGGATCCCTTGTGAGGTTCTCCGGTGGCAGAGGCGAGTATCGATGCATGTGCGGAAGCAGCTTTCCTGCTAATCTGCCAAAGAAGACGGTGACAGAACTTGGCTCGAAACCTTTGGGAAAGGCGATGAATGGAGCCTCCAGTATCCAGCCTCGGATGTCTTTCATCAGATCTGCATATTGTGGATCAGATGCCAGAATTAGAGCTTCACCACCTCCCATCGAGTGGCCCATAACGAAGACAGGAATAGTCGAAGGCAATTGGGTCTTGATGAAGGAGACAATATCTGAAATAACCAGTGAAGTAGGCCCCGTCAGACCTTTCTGGGATGGATTGTGCACGGAACGGCCCCAGCCGCGTTGATCAAAACCATGGACTTCAATTCCGCGAGAGGCAAGGGTGGGAAAGAATTCGTAGTATCGATTCATATGGTCACTAAAGCCATGAATGAAGATGACTTTAGCAACTGCTGGGCCATCAGGCTATACTGATCAGCTGTGGACTTGCAGAGAGGTAGTTGACTGACTTTCCAGCTTTTGGTATACAGAGAGATGTCACCAATTTGGTGAGTCCCTTCGATTTCGGTGGGCATATTGGCAGATATCTTGTTGTTGAATAGCTAGCTAGCTTCGTGAGATGGAGCTGGGAGCTGTTTCAAGCCTAGACCTCGGCAAACTTATATCATAACTCAAGCCCAACGTAGATGTTGAACCAGGAGGAAGGAGAAGTAATAGGACAGCACGACACACCAAGTCTGTAATAATCCAATCGCCACGACTTTACACGATTGCAAGTCCAAATGTTGTTTGGGACAATGAGATGCACGTGCACGTGGAAGCTGGACGCTTGGACACTTACACGGGGATCATCTTACCCCTGCAATCACGGCCGCTAGTGACTCTGTGCATTGCATGTGAAATTTAGTAGATCTTCAGGTACAGCTTCGAAACCATTCCGATGAATTTCTACGCCCAGTCTGCTCAGAAAGCTGGCAGACGCTTCATCAATGGGCCGAAATATTCCTGTTCCTCTTGTACTCGACGGCTCTACAGCAGCGGTGCCGTAAAAGGTAAGCAAGCATCTTTTCTTTCTTCCCGCGCATTGCTGATCCACGACTAGAGAATGATATTGTGCTGTTGAAGCATAGGTCCAGCTCATCTGCTCCTATTATCACCAACCCATTAAAACCGGGCGGGAAAGTTAACCTCGTCCTTGACAGCATCAATCATGAGGACATCATTGGGAAAGCAAAACGAGAGGTGGTCGTTTCGAGGAAGAGAGTACTGTACAGAATTCACGAACCGACGCTTGCTGAATATACGGATAATTCACCACGATTAGTTACTCCGGTATGTTTCATCGGAGCATTAACTCGCCAGTTGCTTACCGCACGATAGTAGATTTATTCTCAGGATGCGAACCTTATTGTCTCACTTCTCGATATCAATCCAGTCCCGCCCGGTTCACAATCCGCTGGGGAAGACAAGTTGGAAATATTTGAAGCAGGGACTGGACATGGTGCCTTGACACTTCACCTTGCCAGAGCCATACATGCAGCAAATGCTCCTCTGCCTATGCTTCCCGAGGCTGCACTTGAATCGGAAAGTCTAGACATGGGATTCAAGCGGGTGAAACTCGACACTCAGGAAGACACACAATCACAAGAGCAGAAAGAAGTCAAGCTGGCTTACGAGGAGTGGCGTTCGAAACGGCGTGCAGTCATTCATACTCTCGACACCTCAGAGAAACATTCGGCACACGCTGAGATGGTGGTCAGAAACTTCCGGAAAGGTCTCTACTTTCCACATATCGATTTTCATGTTGGCAAGATAGAAGATTACCTATCTCCCCGACTTATTGAGAATGGCCAGCAACCATTCTTAGATCATGCAATCCTTGATCTTCCAGGAACACATGACTATCTCGACATTGTGGGGAAAGCGTTGAAACCTGACGGATCATTGCTCGTCTTTTGCCCGAGTATTACTCAAATTATTGACTGTATCAAGCATGTCAAGGAGAGAAGACTTCCATTCTTCTTGGAGCAAACGGTGGAAGTTGGCGGAGCTGTAGGTGTTGGTGGTAGAGAATGGGATGTCAGAAGAGTCAAACCAAGAGCATTATTGAAGGCTGAGGGAGAAGAGTCTCCGGAATCAGTCCCAGAGAGCGGAGATGATGAAGGATGGCAGATAGTGTGTCGTCCAAAGGTTGGAGTAAGGATCAGTGGTGGTGGATTTGTTGGACATTTCCGTAAAATAGTCGAGTTTCCAGCCCGTAATGTAAAATAAATAGTCCCGCTTCGAAAACAAGTTGAGGAAAATGGAAAAGGGGGCTCAATCACGAGACAATCAACAGGGGCCGATATTTAGCTTCCGCTAGCGTGCCGTCCCCAGATTTCCCTCAAAGAGCCTGAAATTATGACCACGAACCTCAAAGCGTCTCCTTTCTTTCATGAGCACCAATGCCTGCATATCTTGCGGATATATGCATACAATGACGAGTGCTTGACAGCTTCACGAATGGAATACTCACGTCAGCTGGCAAGAAAGACTGGCTTTGCTAGGGTACTCTCATCAACCGCTTCTCCCCAATCGCCAAGATGACCAGAAGAATTGTATGCCGATTCCCCTTTCCTTCTTGGCCCTTACCAATACTCACAGTGATCATGACAGGTTCGGACAATCTGCCAACTTGGGGCACTCACTGTCTTCTCTCTCATCGTGGTCTACTTCCTCGACAACCAATTTCGAGTCCTCCCATCAGCGATTCACAACGCTCTGCCTGCCCACCACCCAGGATTAGTGATAACAGACATCACCGTCACGAAATGTTCGCGGGTCAACGTCTTCAGCTCCTGCCAGCTTGACCCAGATTTGTGGCACAGGATAGAGAAGGACTTGTATTTGGGGAGTGGATGGGTTAGCAGTGCATACATACACATCAAGCGGAAGAAAGAGGAGGAGTTACAACCAGATGATAAGGTTATCATCGATGTTACGATCGGCCGTCTAGATCCCAGTACTGGGGTGAAGGGTGAAGGAAACGAGAAGTGGGAATCTAGACCAGCCGGATTATGGTTGAAGCGGTCTGCGAAACGGCATGCGAGCGATTCCTCGAAAGCTATCACCGCGGTGGATGTCTTGTTCGGTGCAGATGCTGTTGATCCAAGAGATGGCTGGGAAGTAGTTGGTACTGCTCTACTGTTTGACACAGCTGCCGAAGGACACGAGGCGAGATTGAGCGTGAGGAGAGGAAAGGAGGCAGGACATGCGAAGCCTGTGCCGAGAGTTAAGGAGAATGGAAAGTTTAAGATCATGCAAGTTGCGGATCTACATTTGAGCACTGGAACTGGTGCGTGCAGAGATGCAATGCCTGAAGGCTTGAATGGTGGACATTGTGAGGCGGATCCCAGAACATTGGAATTTGTGGGAAAGCTACTGGATCAAGAGAAGCCTGATCTCGTCGTGCTGAGTGGAGATCAAGTCAATGGAGAAACAGCGCCTGATGCGCAAAGTGTGAGTCTCTCTGCCACCTCTCTTTGGGCCGTCTGACAATGCTAGGCAATTTTTAAATATGCTGAGCTCTTCATCAAACGTCAAATCCCATACGCTACCATATTCGGGAACCACGACGATGAAGGATCGCTTCCCCGAGCTGGTCAAATGGCTTTGATCGAGTCTCTTCCGTACTCCCTCTCCATTCCTGGCCCCGAGGGTATCGACGGCGTAGGGAATTATTTTGTCGAAGTCCTCGCTCAAGGCAGCTCCAAACACTCAGCACTGACCATCTACCTCCTTGACACACATGCATACTCGCCCGACGAGCATCTCTACAAAGGCTACGACTGGCTGAAGAAGAGCCAAATCGACTGGTTCAAGACCACCGCTCAAAGTTTGAAGAAGGAACACGCGGGCTACACACACATTCACATGGATCTAGCATTCATCCACATCCCACTCCCTGAGTACCGCGACGAAGGCCTACCTCGAATTGGAGAATGGCGCGAACGTGTCACAGCTCCAGGCTTCAACTCTGGGTTTCGCGACGCATTAGTAGAAGAAGGGGTCGTGATGGTATCCTGCGGGCACGATCACGCCAATGAATATTGCTCCCTGAGCAGTACTGAGTCTGGTGCTCCTGCATTATGGATGTGCTATGCTGGCGGGAGTGGATTTGGAGGGTACGGTGGATATGGGGGATACCACCGCAGGGTGAGGTTCTTTGAGGTTGATTTGAATGAGGCAAGGATCACGACTTATAAGAGAGTTGAGTACGGAGAGGTGGAGAAGAGGATTGATGAGCAGATTATTGTTGAAGGTGGTCGGCCAAAGGGGTTGTGAATATGGGAGGAGCATGATATGGGTACAATATATTATGGGGATGGTGGAGGGTACGGAATGGCGTTCGGTGCTCGTGGCTTCCTAGTGGCCGACTGATAGCTTTTGGATTATTTAGCATGGTTGGCTTGTATTGATTCATAGTGGCTGTACAGAAATCGAGATACCACTTTTCCGCTCGGATGTATCCTTTGTACTGTGTCAACTTTCTCTCACTTAAACACAAGTCTAACTCAAACACAAACTACATTCTTGCTACCAAAGACATGCATGCATGCTAACTAAAGCAACCCAGGTATATTTCATCATCTCACTTCATCCTTCCACTACACATCCCTTCCGATCACTTAAACAAATGAAATCAAAAACCGAACATAGCAAAGTAAGTGATATCCTTATGCTGCCAGAGCACGCCAAACACCATGTGCCCACCGACCCAAATTACCCTTAAGCTGTTTTCTCTTCCTTTCTTCTTCCAGGAGCTTGGCTCCAACGCTCGTGTTGCCACATCGCCTGTCTCGTGTCGTGAGAAGCCTCCGTGCTTTGAATCGGGACCAAAATGTTTGGTTCTATGGCGACTCACGAGCGTACTGCACGTCACACCTCGCAGTGGCACGACATGCCCTCAGCTTGATGCTGGCATCCCACAATTATCACCGAAATGGCATCTCTCCTGCCATTCCGCCTCCTCCCGCTATCCCACCTTGCATCCCCATTGACAAATCCACTCCTTCGCTCCCACCATTCGCTCTCTGATAATGAGGGAACTGTTCGGGTACACTCCTCGGTATTTGCTGCATGCCGAAACTACTACCGCTATTCATTCTCAGCGGAGGTCTCCTTACACCCTGTCGACCCATTTGCAGCATGTTCATCGTGCCATCAAATTCTTGTTTGAAATTCACGTTCATTTGCAATCGTCCACCTCCACCGACACCTTCGCCAAAATTGCCGAGGTTGTTAGTTGAGCTGAGGCTGGGCATGGGAGGCGGTGAGCTGAGGTCGGGAAAGCCTCCGTAGTCATTTAGACCTGGGAATTCCATTGGGCTTTGCATTATTGCTGGAGATGTGAAGGGACTGTTATCGCTGTTGTCTCCATTTGGAGGGGAGCCAAGTTCTTCGATGCGTTTATCGTAAGCAGGCATGCCTTGCAGATTGTTGGCGTTGAAGTCGCTGTCCGGCTCCATCTTGAACTCGCCACCAGAGGTGCCGTTCCCGTTGTAGCCTGGGAAGTTCGATGCAACTCCGATTCCAGCGTTGCCGAAGCCGTCGAAGATGTCGACATCAGCACACATGTTTGCTGGGGTATCTGGAACGGATTGGAGCATTGGGTTGACAAGACGTGGGAGGACGTCGTTGATCTTGGCGAGAAGGAGAGGCAAGAAGCGGTTGTCTCCATTGCGAAGAACCGAGAGGAGGGTCATGAAGTCGTGAAGGTAGTCACGAGGTCCGAGTTGGAATGGATCGGGATTGGGGGGAAGAAGAGAAAGAACATCTGTCAAGGAGCAAGCGACATCGAATAATTTCTCAATCTAGATTCTGTTAGTTACGAAGACAACGAGGGTAATCGTACTCACCAATCCAATACCATGAACCTCCATGCTAGACTGCGTGAATTGGGATGTCATGGAAACGAGATCTCGTGCAATTTCAACGGGATATTGGAAGGTCATGCTTGGATCATCATTGTTCGAACTCAAACAGCCATTCTGAATACTTAGTTGCCAGACCATGGTTCGTAACCATTGCTGACTTGTCCTCAGGTCTGCTGTTTGGTTTTCAGTTGAGTTGAGATATGTCGGGAGTGCATCGGTCAATTGTTTTTGAAGAGCAGCAAGGTAAGCTGGGTTACAGTCGTTTCGAGTCTTGTTCCAGAGTGCGACGAATGCTTCATCGAACGGTCGGAACAGATTGACGAGATGAAGGAAACCATTCAGAGTATGAGCCTGTGTGTCTGATGGGTCATCGTTCTGTGTTGGGAGTGAAATGGTGGCTTGTAATGAAAGAGGTCGATGTCGCTGAAGAGCGTAGGCTCTGTCGGAAAATTAGCACCAGCGCAAATATCTCCTCGAAAAACTTACCTCTCAGTCACAAATAACAACCAATACAATCTCCTCCGTCTTGATGACTCGATGGGATCGAATTGTAAGTATGTCTCCTCCTTCTGCAGGCCAAGGATATGTGCGAGAGTAGTCGCCTCTCTCAAATGGAACCAAGCCTTATTGTGCAATTCGAGACCAAAGTAGCATCCGAACAAGAAGAAACTTGTCACCATGCTATTCAGTGTCGGAGACTCGAGATGGTCGTAACTCTTTCGCACCCTCAACGTCTCTTCCATTAAGAGATTCCCTGACACGAGATTGGCTCCCGGGAGGCTGTCAAGTCCCAGAGGATCGCCAGGTATTCCCATTCCTGGCTGGATCATCATAAACGCACACAGCGACGTCAAAAGACAGTATGTATCGGTATTCTGATCTGCGTACATCGCTTGCTGTTCGAGTCGTCCGCGGTGGAGGATGGGAAGGGTGGGATACATGTTCGCGAAGAAGAATTCGATGCACTCTTTGATCATATCGCTCGTCAGGAGGCCCGGCGTGGGCGCAAGAGTTGGACTACATGGCGGACTATTGACACCATTCAATCGGTTCGCGACTTTGGAGGAGAGGGTCGTTTGTCGTTGGGTTTCTCGAAGTTCGCTGATCACCTTGGCTCGGGAACCCTTGGGACCTTTCTTCTGCGGGATGGCGTGGTAGGTACACGATAATTGAGCGGACGAACAATTGCGACACGGGTTGATGCCATCGCATTTGACCTTTCGACGATGGCAGGCGTCGCAGGCCCGCTTGACAGACGTCGACATGGCGGGCGATGCGTGAGGTTGAGGGGAAGTGAGGTGTGTCGCTCAGCGCGAAATGGGTGGAGGGTGGAAAAGGACTTCACCACTCAACAGAACGCGCAGTGATCAGCAAGCCACACGAATAGACTGTACTTCTTCCTCGGGTCGTTGAGGATTGATTGATGGATGGTTGCGGTCTGATAGATACGGCACTGATACTCGTGTGTATGTATGGGGTAAGGAGTGGGAGTGGAGAAGATGTTTTGTTCCCGGGTCAGACAATGCGGTGTGATACGCGGAGTACTGGAGCAGGAATACTGGAGAGACGGTGGAGTGCAGTGCAGTACTGTACTGTACTTATTCGGTCCGTCAGGTTTGATGCGTGCGCGCTGAGGCAGAGACGAGAAACCTGGGAGAAGCGACGGGGGGACGGGACGGGGGCGCTCACGCTCTCATTTTATTTCAGAGAAAAGTGCGGGGGGAGAGTGAAGCCTGTAAGCTGATTGGGGCCAAGCGAGGAAGTTGTGTCGGGATGGCAGGGGATGATGGTAAGGTGAAGTACTGGAGGGAGTACTGTGCTCGAGGATTCTGATTATTTATTGCCAACGCCAACCAAGAAGGGACGACGAATCGTAGAAAAGGGAGAGAGGAGATGGCAAGGGATGCAGACGCGAGTGCGTGTCGCCTGGTGCTGGTGCTGGTGCTGGTGCTGGTGCTGGTGCTGTGTAGGTATGCTGCGCGCTATGTATGTGCGATCGAAAAGGGGGCGATGTAAGTGAAGGGAAGTACTAATTGAAGACCAAGTCCGGTTGATGAAGCTGTTGATAATAATTGTATGGATCCAAGAATAAGTAATACTGGCCCACGTATTCTTTTCGATTTCTTCCTTCTTCAATGGTGGATCGACGGCGCGACGGGCTCTGAAAGAAAATTGTTTGTGCCAAGGCCCGCTGTCTGTTCGCTGAGTGGTCGTCCCGAGTCTGCCAGTCCACGGGAGAAGCAGCGAAGAACGCAGCAAACTCAGGGGCAAGGTCTGGTCTGGTCTGGTCTGGTCTGGCAAGATCTCCGGTTGAAAGGAACAAGTGCCTGAACGGGTCCCAGCAGACCAACACCGACACACAGAGTACGAAAGGACGGTACCGGACTATCCAGTTTCCAGTATCGTCGAACACCACTTGTTGGACCTTGTCGAGTCGGGATCCCAGAAGAGACCAAATATAGGGCGACCTCTCGTTTGATTCCGCAGGATATTGGTGGTGGTGGTGGTGGTGAGGATGCTTGAAACGCCAGTCCTTCCCAGGATATTTGTTGTAGATAGCAGCAATACTTAGATTCAAACAGAACAAGAAACCCAGCACCAGGACCAAGACCACTACACCGTACTGTATATAGCGATTATGCTGGCCTCGCGATCGAAGGAAGTCGCCGCACCGACAAAGGCGTAACGTAGCAGAAGAATCCAGGCTGTGTCAGCAGCCTCACTTCCACGACAGATCACTTCACAAAGATTTCTCATCTGACGGCGGTGGCAGTGGATTCTAGACTGCAGCAGCGTCCCACGAAGATCGGTAGGTACATGGCCGGATTGTGTGACTTCACTTCTCACGATCAACCGCACGGCATTCCTTAGGTGACTTCAAGCCTCATGAATCCCAATCGAGGTAAAGTGCATCATCATGGATTCATGTCCCCAAATTAGTGATGGGGATTTTCCATGCAAAGTTTTCAATTTCTTTCTAATCAGAACCCAGCCGTCGACGTCGCAAGACGACCAAATCAAGTCTCGTGTTCCATGCAAGATCAAGTCCGTCAGCATTACCTACGCACGCCACGAAACCCAGCGCCTCGCACCGGCAGACAGTCATGATATCCTCATTTCTATGGACATGTTCTTCGGTACTTGCCTATGGTGGCTTGATTCCTGTGTCGCAGAATCCCACCATCAGCTTCACGAAGGAGAAGTTACTCGATCTGTACCTCTTCTCCTTTGCAAATTTTGGTCCAATCGGGGATTCCCTTTAAAGTCCTTCGAAGGATTGAGATGTTTGAAGCCATCCTGATCCATCGGGCAATGGAGATGTGTTGATTGCTCCGCCTCCTTCTTGGTGTGTTCCATAATGCTTCCATGACAGAAATTATGGGAAGCCCGGGATTGGTCAGTTGCAGATCTCCCACCAGAATCGCCAGCATATCCCAAACCACGAACTTTGCCATATCAGCAATATATCAGGCCATATCCTGCAGAATTATTTGCACGTTTCTTTGGCCTTCTTCTTCCTCGTTTTGACGATTTCATTTCGAGCGTGATTCATGTACAGTACAAGGTACATGCATTCGGGCGCCGATTTTTCCTCGCATGATTTTGCCATTTCCACATCCGAGTAACCGAACTCAGCCGGTAAACCTCATCAGCTCCTCATTCCACGAACTCATGCGTCGAATCATATCATTCTTTCGTTTAATATCAAGAACATCAGAAGTCCTTCATGCCATTAATCAGATGTGTGGATCTATCGGGAAAGAGCTACAAACTACACGTGCATCTTGACATCCGCCACTCGCCGAAGTCAAGTCCTGTCATGTGATCTGGAGCTGCATCAACGTGTAACCGAACGAAGTTAAGGGGGGCTCTCGCTTAAGCAGAGGAGTAGGACCGAAAGCCTCCATCTTCACCTTCGAAAAGTGCGGAGATAATGTTCAAAGTGCGGAGGTGCACGGACTGAGGCTTGAGCTTGTGTCGATGGCTGAAGAACGGGTGGTTCAAAGCGGGGGAGAAGTCGAAATGTTCAATCCGGAGACAACCATGCGCTTTCCACGTGCTTAGTCAAGTTGGCCCTCAGATTTTTACAGGCGCTGTTTCCGCGGCTTTCTTTCGCTTTAGCACTAAGATATTGAGTTCCTTGTATTTGTACTGTACTCCGCTTCCTCTTTTGAACAAGTTTCGGATCTTTTTTGTTTCGTTCTCGCTCGCTTGGTACTCAGAGTTTAGTATACCTCTGCTCCATTATTTCGGCTTCAAAATTCAGTGTTCGACAATTGCGGGGTCAATCACAAGCCCACAAATGTTCTAACTGGAGATTTCTGCAAAGACACGCACATCATCAACACGGCAATCCTGTTCTTCAATCGACACGGCTTCCAGATCCACAATACAACCGAACACCCCGCATATCTCCAAACCAAGATATCCCTCGGCCTCCTCTTCTCCCCGGATTTAGGCTCGTTTCGGGTATACTACCGAGTGAGTGCATATTTTGATCTCACTCTTATCCACTCCATCGGAATTAGTCGCAGCTTCGGTTGGAAAAAGGAGAATCTCCTGCGCCGGGTGCGAGAAGGACCGATGTCTACATATTTGTACCTGATCGTCGTGGAAATCCAGCTCGTGGGCGTCTTTTCTTGTGAGCGGTATCGCGCTTCGCTTTCGGCATTGCTCCAGTCGATGATATGGTGCTCAATTTCTGGGAATGTGAAGGCATTGGGAGTAGTTCCTACTTTCTGGTCTGCACTTCATGGGTGAATGACAGCAACTGCATGTGCGTGCGGAAACTTCCAAGCGAGCATTTAGACGGCCCTTCTTGTGTCCAGAAGCTTTTGTTTGAACTCGAAATCCTGGAGCAGAGTCATATATCCACATCTCTTTCTCGATCGTTGCATTGTGCTGTCCGCATCCTTGGAAGATGTTCTTTCTAGATGCGTCACATCTGTGGAACCTTCTCGCGGCAATGCTGCTAGTACTTTTCAGGGAGTTGAGTGTCTCCCTATTACTTCCAAGTGTTGATCACTTTCAGATGCGAATCATGCACCGAATGGACATCTGCCATTTCGCCGAAGCATCACCTTGAAGATTACACCGTCTAGATCATTCTAGTGTTTTGTGAACATGAAATCCGAATTCATTAAATGATTCAAACTTTTGCTAGCAATTCTTGCTTATTCTCCCACATCCAAAATCGCAGATCTCAGTCCAAAGAAAACACCAACCCCTGATCCGCGCTCACTCCACCTTCACACAACCTTTCCCACCCCTTCCCAACACCCTCCATTCCCTCTCCCCAGACCAATCTCAAACTCTCCACCAATCCACCCTCCTTGAACACCTTCCACTCCCTCATCAACTCCTCGAAAAATCTCTTCTCACCCAAAACCTCTATCGCTTTTCCTCTCACGATCGAAGCATTAAACACACTTGCCCCTCTCTCCGTCCTCTTCTTAAACCTCTCGTTCGCCTTCTCAGGACTCTCTGCCACGACTTCTCCCGCAACAATCAACTGCTCCACATTCCTTCCCTCTTCTCTGAATTTATCTTCCCATCGATTTCCCGCTTCACCTCTTGATCCAAACTCCACAAGAAGGATTTTAGAATCAGCTTTCAAGTCGAGCTTTGCATCTAGGTTGTTGTCAGAGTCGGAATCATAGGTTAAGACTTTATCGTACAGTCCTGTTTCTTTGGCGAAAGAACGGGATTTGGACGAGCCGATTCCGAGAATGGTTCGGGGTTGTGTCCCTGCTGGACGAGAGCTTTTCAGTAGGTATGCTAGGGCGAGTGCTGTTTTGCCACTGTCTGCAAAGATCAGAATGACCGTCTTGCTGTCAATTGTTCCTTTTTCCAGAGTCCAATTGGCTGCTGGAGGTATCAATTCTTCAGAGTCCCAGGGGAAACTGAAGCGATTGATCAAGTAGCTTGTTGTGAAGAATATTTGGAACAATGCGTCGTATGCTTGGCTTTTCTTCAATTCCTCTGTCCTTTTACTTGGCGGGTAGGAAGTGTATTGGTTGTAAAGCGACATCACATTTTCTCTGTGCTTGCTGATTTCGAAGAATTGGGTCGGGACTTCAGGGTTCATTCGAATCTGCATGTCAAGCGGAAGAGTTCCAATGGGAAGAAGTCCGAATATCTGTGCTCCTGTGCCAATCTCAGAGACGTTGCTTTCGAGAACAGTTGCATAGCCCCAAGCTGCGATGCGACCAAATTTCGTGGGGTCCGAATATTCTGTTGGAATTGATGGCGGGAGAGGATGGATATCCCAGATGCTCAGGAGGTGCCCTATCCGTCCGTAAGTCAAATTGTTGGCGGTCAGAGAGATGATGGATGTTTGAACCCGGATGGAAGAAGGGTTCAATTCTGGGAGAGGAAGTGCGTTGGGAAGAGTAACTAGATGTTGTTCCTCGTAGTTATTTCGAGAAAGTACTTGGATGACTGGGGTTGATGTCTCCATTTTCGTTTGAATCTTTACTTTTTAAAATGTGATTCAAATTTAGGCTGAACATGTGGATCTCTTCATGGAACTCGCTGCAATTATATTCATTGTTCACAACAGTTGCGCTACGTCCGTAAAAGGTTAAAAGTCAATAGATGTGGAATAATCCTTTCGTGTATCTTGCACAGTAAGCAAATGCCGGTTTTGCTGATTACTGAACGAGAGCGGCTTGTAAAGTCCGATAGTAGGCGCCTCTCAATCAAAAGCAGAATTGCGGCTGCAGTTTGTGCCTTCTGCAGGTCATTAAATTCAGCCTCGATTCTGAGCTGGTCTTTCGTGATTGGTGGGCATTGATGACCAATTTCTCACGTCGCATAATCTCCAACCTCGGTTTGCTCTTGATTATCTTCAACTCCTTCGACATAGCTTTCCATCCCAAGCATGCTGAAGTTCTTTCGCTCTCGTTCTTCGGCCTTGAAAGGGAAATTGAGAAGGAAATTGAGAAGGCCTGGAACGCAACCCTCACAGGAGCAGAGTGCCACAGAAGACACACCTCCAAAGCCGCTCTATCCGCGGGAAAAGGCATTATCTATCATTTTCAGCACAGAATTAGATCGCGCATCGAAAGCTGGCAATGTACATGCCAAACCCACTTTCCTTCTCCTGCCTCTGGAAATCCGAAGACAAATCGTTGAATATTGCGTCTGCGGGATCCCTTTGGATCTGAACGTTGTCGAAGAGCTCGGTCAATTGAAACAAAATAAAATAGGCATATTGATGAGGCCTATCGACGTTATCAGGAAGCGCTTCGTGCTATCAATTCCATTGACTTGCCGCCAACTGTATGCAATCTTGGGTTTCTTCTTTATTGATTAGCATGACTAACGCACTCAGTTATCTAGAGACGATCAACTTGATATACTCTGGGAACAGGATCAAATTTGGCTTTGGCATGACGATAATCTACCTCCCCAGAAAACTAATTACTCAGCGTCTGAATATGATCAATGATATGTGGCTCGTGTGGCATGTTTTTAAAGTGCCATTGGAAAACACTTTCGAAAAAGCAGAGTGGACGAAAGTTTGGGAGATTATTGCGTCGATGGAGGGACTGAAGAAAGTGCTGGTACAAATATTTCCAATCTTTCTATGGGAAGACCAATGGCCCAGTGAAGAAAAGCGACTTCTGGAAGATGCAAAGTTGGTCACAAGGCCCGAAAGATTCGAACTGGAGTTGGGCTGGCCGGAGGGACCAATTCCATTGGAACTTCCTTGTGATATCACCAGAGTTTCGAACGATTTGTTCCCGAACAGAGTCGCCCATTGGATCTAAACTCCAGGCTGCTTTGGACAGACAAGCTGATCGAAGGTGGTAATGGGAAATCAAAGCATCGGGCATGATCTATACGATGAGAAGTTGTGTGCACTTTGGGAGAAAGTTGCAGATGTGAGTGGCCAAATTCATGACCACCAACAAAGCAGAATCCTTCCTGCCGCTGCCCCGACCCACAGAGAGTAATATTTGGTTGTCATTCCGTAACATGTTCTGCTGCTGCGGTACGTTCATGGAATTCTGAGCTAGAGTTGTGGGAGTGCAATAACCTCTGCTCAAATTTTGCCGAACGCGGCCCCTTTCCAAAAAAGCGAGGTGATTCGCTGATAATACGACACGCACCGCCCATTTCAGCTAGCGCTGTCAGCAACAGTAGTCCGTCTAAGGGCCATACTTTCTCACGAAAGTTTAGAAGGGACAAAGCTTCTCTCTATCGCAAATTCTGAAGCGAAAGCATGTCTTCCAAACCATCCGAGAAACCAGGCTTTGCAGCTCCCAACTTCAGCTGGGCGGACTACATCAAACACCGACCGATTTACCCTTCTTCATACTACGACCGCATCTACAGATACCATTCTGAGCATTCAAATACTTGGGATGTTGCGCATGATGTTGGGACTGGGCCTGGCATCATTGCCCAAGAGCTCGCGAACAAATTCACCCACGTGGTCGTCTCGGATCCGAATGATACCTATGTGGATATTGCATGCGATCGATTAACAAACGAGTTCGGATTTCCCAAGTCAAAGTTTACGTTCCTGCAAGAAAGTGCCGAGAAGAGTTCGGTAGAAGATGGGACAGTCGATCTGCTCATCATAGCTCAAGCAATGCATTGGGCAGACGTCGAAAAAGCGATGAAATCATTCGCAAGACAAGTGAAAAGTGGCGGGACTCTTGCTATCAGTTTCTATGGCCGTGCGCAGTTGTCCAATAACCCGAAAGCTCAGGCAGCTTTGGATAAGGTCTATGATGTTTGGACAGACAAACTGATTGAGGGGGGTGGATTTGCTGCTCGTGCTATGCGCGCTACTGATTCGGCATTCGACATCGTTCCATTTTCGACAGAAGATTGGGAACCTGGAGTGAAGAGAACTCTGATAAACACAGGGGGAAAGAAAGAACCGATGGCTATGAGTGTCAAGAACAAGGCATCGTACGAAAGCAAAGTGGGGAAAGATGATGTGTTTGAAGCTGAGAAAGATGACAACTGGACTGAAGTGAGAGATTTGAAATGGTTGAAAGAGTTTTTCGTCACCCTGTTGTACAACATACCAGAAGAACAAGTGAAACGATTCTGGGATGAGGTTGAAGAAGCAATTGGAGGCCTTGATATACCAGTGGATATCTTCTATCCTGCCGTTCAACTACTTGCAACAAGAAAATGAAGACCAGATTTCAATCTACGTGGGATAATTCATCTGCCCTCAGGCGTGGAATTGCCTCGGGGTTCTCTTGAGCAGCACTGAATAAAAACATAAGAAAGACCAAACTTATTGCACACACTTCTTTCGGCGCCTGACGATTCACTTTCAATGACCAAAAGCACAGGCTTGCTGCTGCGGTCATGTGCGTTGATAGATAAACAAAGATTTGATCTCTTTGTCGTTGTATTTCGATAACGTGTGCATGGATTTGCATTCCAATCAAACAATCTTGTCGTCCCGTCCTATCACTAGGCTCTGAGTTGACAAAGAAATGCTGCAGTGGACATAATGCAATACCCTTGACAGATGTTCGATGCTTATGCCAATGTCAAGTAACGATTATACTACACCAAAGACCAACCCATTCAGGACAGCTTCTTCTTAAAGGCTCGCTTTGTTATTTTCACTTTTGGCAATCCATAATAACAAAGAAACTCCAGACTCTTAAAGCACCCCCGAAAATATTTCCTTGATCTAGTCGCCATAATAGCTTTCTAGTTTCCCAAAGAACAAGCTACTTTTGTTCCAAAAATAGAGAATAAAGCCGACGATGAAATATATAATGCGGCAGATTGAGCATGATTAAGAGTCAAGTCGATCATCTTGTAGTATTACGTCCTTTTCTGCGTCTCCGTTTCATTTTTGTTCTCATTTTCATAGGCTTCTGGTAAGTCTCAGTTTTGAATTATTGCAAAGCATTACATTTTTCACCTTCATTACTGCATCATTTACTCAATATTATTATCATTTTACCCTACATACACGCCAATCAATAACTTACAATGGCGTCAAACCCTGCTTACATACACCCCCAAATCCCCGATCCAACAGTTATCACTCCTCCTCAAGACTTCCACATCTTTGCGCCAAAAAATCCCCATCCAGACTTTAGCAATGATGTAATTCAACACACTCTGCGTTTGAAGGCGTACGATCCCTTGGATCTAAGTCAAGCTCTCTGTTTTGCGATCGAATCCCGTTTATCTAACCAGCAAACAATTCTGGATCATCTAGACCTGGCAGAGAGGCAGCTTCTAGGGACTGTCATGGATAGAAGCTACTCAAATCTCAGACTGACAGATGGAGAACGAAGCGACAGCCTGCTCGAGATGCAAGCCATCAAGAACTTGGCATTGGAATTCTTTCCTACCTTTAACAAGATGTTGTTCGGAGGGAGTCTGACCGAGTACCTTAAAGACGTACAGGCATACAACTTCGATGCTTTGAAAGCATCGAATCCTACTCATGAAGCTGTCACCGAGAACGCGATCGGTTGGTACCAAGAAGAAGAAAGAACCATTTATATAAGGACAAACCCACCCATGTACGATTTTGCTGGAACTGCTGCGACAGAAGTCCAGAAGTACCTGACAATATTCGTTCACGAATTGGTACATACGTTCTTTTGGGCTTGGGGCTGCAAGTGTGCCAACAGATGCTCACAAGATGAGGTTTTAGGGAATATTTTCGGCCAGAGTGGTCACGGGCCAGCATGGATGCAGGTCATGCATACCATATCTCAAGCGCTTGAAAAAGACTTGGGGTGGAAGATCGATACCGGGATGGCTTATTCATGTGAGATTGAAGAAAAGAATAGCGGATTCAAGTTTCCAGAATCGATGCTGAACTCTTGGAACATGCGTCGAATAAATTTTTCACAAGAGGACTGGAAATTGATACCGAAGATTTGGTATAACGTCCATCCCTGCGTAACGGAAAACCCTCCGTGCCGGAAAATCCAACTGGTACATTGACTTTAAGCATCTTAAAATCTATGCACACCGCAATATCTCTTGAAAATTTTTGGTAACTGTATTCCGTGGCCACTCACAAATGCCTTATATGCCTCCGACTAAAAAAATCATATTCGTGTCGTCGCCCTTCACCTCATTTATAAAGTGTCTCCTTTTATAGCGTAACAGACTTTCTCTACCACAGCTGCGTCACCTAGCTTATACTATCCCCAAACCTTATAACAAATATCTTATTAGAGCTCCAAGTGCCTTTAAATATGCAAGAACTCATAAATAGCTTTGTGGCGGCTGTGGCGTACAAATTCATGCAAGACCGCCACGCGGGTCGGTACCTCGGATCGGAGCAAGTGACGATCTTCGCGCAGCACAGCCCCACATGCCCGACTCTAGACCGCTTTTTCGAAATAATCACGTGATATTTGGCATGGATCTAGTCGATGACTGCAGCAGAAGTGCCTCACTTAAAGCTCAAACACTCACGCTGAGTACTGATAAATTACCAGTCGTCAGCTTATTACGAATAATTACATTATAGTACACTTTCATAATTCCACATCCTCTTGTGCAGCCTTCCATGCATCTAAAGCTGTGCAGGATAAAATAGAATCTGGGTGATTAGCTTTTAAGACACATTTCCGAAGTTGTAGTTACACATTTTCTTTGCCGTTTCCCCACTGACATAAAAACTTCTGGAACGCATATATCACGTGACAACACAGTGCGTCGCAAAACCGACGAAAGCCTAACTATCGCCAATACAGAATGGCTTAATGCAGTCTACGATGATGAGTATTTGAGCAGGAGGACAGACTCTTCAAAACTCAGCTCTGGTCTAGGATACTGTTGTGAGCATAGACCTCTAATTTATTGGTACCTGGAGGATCATTGGCTGTTTAAAGTGCAAAGAATGTCACTATTTAATTTAGGAAACATATCAGTTTATCTTCATCAAGTTATTATATCTTATTATGTGTTTACTTTTCTCCGAAATTCATTCAACTAACTCTCTTGTTAATGATCTTCGCGTTAAAGTCCGAAGAATTTACCACTGAAAGTCACAGTGACTGAACCGCTCTGGCTCTGGCTGTGGGTCCCTGCGGCTTTTGCAATAGCCTCTTCCTGTCTGACGATAATGGCAACTTGGACCTGATCGATTTCTTTGAAAGCGCTATACCCAACTATGCTATACTTTCATACAGGTGGGGATCGGACGAGATTACCTTCTGGGGGCCTGGTAGACGGTACGAGCATGAGTAAGGCTGGCGGCGAAAACTTCTCGGTGGACACATGCTGCATCGACAAATCAAGCAGCGCCGAGCTCTCTGGAGCTGATGGAGGATTGTTCGCCCAGAAAGTCCTCCCGTTTCAAATGGGCCCGACAGAATACACAGGGAAGAAGACTGTCGTAGTACCGAGATGTTGTCAGGTCAAGGAAGGCTCGCAGCATTGTCAGAGGTAGAACAATTCAGTAGCTCAGAGGGCTCAAGACGGAGAGACTAAGAGACTCTTGTAAAAGCTGAAATCGTTGTAGTATAATATCTTTTGAAGAGGTTAGAAGAGCTTCCTAAACCCTAATTCTGAGTTCGCTTTAGGAGATGTAGTCTTAAATTCGATGTCAAACCTACTGCCAACTGGGCTCTCTCAAATGCATCTTCGAATGAACGTCCGTCCCCAAGCGCTCTGTAGAACTCGCGAGAAAATTCAATTGCTTCCTCATCGTCTATGGCACCCTCCATTCCAACAGCATATCCGACTGCGTCCGCAATGGCTTGCGCCTGGTCGCGAGAGTAGCAAGCATTTAGTATGGCGAGATCTAGCCCCTTTTGTGTTCTTAGCAAAGCCCCAAGAGCGTTCTTATCTACGGCTATGGCTTCACCGTCGTCTCTCTCAAAGAATATCGCTGAATTACTTCCGTGACCGCTGAAATGGAGTATATTCGGTTCATATCGATCCAACACGCGCGTAATATCTCGTACTCGACAACTCCAGATATCGTAGAGATTAAATGACTTTCCATATCGTGTATCACGCAGAGCATCTTCCAACTCGCGGCGTTCGGTGCCAAGCCGAAGACGGTCTGTGTTTCGAGGGTCAGATGACATGATGAGGATATTTGTTGAGGCTTGTGGAGAGACAGCTGGACAAAGAATTAGCGTCATAAGCACCGGTCAGCTTCGACCTTTGCAACTTACCAGTAGGGATATAGTGATGGAACTGCGTATTGACTGGACCATTGATGATCCCGGCTTGGAAGCCGGCGTTATTGTTACCAAAATTTATCGCAGATGCCATTGCGGCGGAGTAGTTTGAGAACGGCGAAAGGTGAACAGCAGCTGAATGTGTTGATGATGTCGGCTATCGTCCAGCCGAAATGTCTTGTTAATGACAGAAGCAGGCGGATATGAAGAACTGATCAGAAGCTGAGGCTGCGGCACTGGAAGCGCCGTCTAACTGATTGGAGGCAGCTGCGCGTCGTCGCGGCTGAAGGATGGCCAACAACAGCTGCTACAACACTCCTTCGCAAACCTCTACAATAAGTTACTGTAATGGCAACCACGATATCTTTTCGCGAGGGCAACTCCGGCCTCCAAGGTGGAATATTCAACGGTCCCGTCAATACTCAGTTCCACCACCATGCTCCTCCTGGTAAGTTGCAAAGGTCCAAGCTGACCCCGCGCTAATAACATCTCCACCCGCAGAACGACCAGAAACTCCACCAAACCCCTCGATCGTCATACCCTTCAGTCGCGACAAAGACTTTGTCGAGCGAGGGATATTCGATCAGATTCATCAGAATTGCGCTGTCCTGGGATCACGGACCGCGCTCGTTGGCCTGGGCGGTGTCGGGTGAGCACATACGCTCTCATGAATGCAGATAACCTAGCTAACTACTGCGAAGCAAATCGCAACTCGCCATCGAATACGCCTATCGAACTCGAGATCGCTCGCCGGAGACATGGGTTTTTTGGGTCCACGCAAGCAACACTGCCCGATTCGAGCAGAGCTTTCGAGATATTGCAAATTGTGTCAAAATCTCTGGACGACAGAATCCACAAGCCGATATCTTCCAGCTTGTGCACGACTGGCTGCGCGATGATAGGAAGAGAAAGTGGGCTCTTATACTTGATAATGTGGATGATGCTCGCTTTCTCGTCGAGACTCGAAGGACCGGGCAATATGGGCAAACAAGCGGCATAGAGAGTGGGAACTCACGGTCGCTCGTGTCATACTTGCCGCAGTGTCCGAATGGGTCGATTCTCATAACAACACGGAGCAAAAATGCGGCGCTAAAGCTAGTTGAACAGCGCGATATTATCGCAATCAAGGCAATGGATAAGACAGATGCGCTAACACTTTTCGAGAACAAACTAGGAGGGCATTATGATGGCGAAAATATTGCAGAACTTGCTAAGGAGCTTGAATTTATGCCGCTTGCCATCGTCCAAGCAGCCGCATACATCTCCCAAATGGCGCCACGCTATTCCGTGCACCAGTACCTTCAGGACTTTTTGAAGAGCTATCGCAAGAGAACGAGCCTCCTTGAAGTCGAAGGCGGACAGCTCCGACGAGATGAGAACGCGAATAACTCTATTATTGTTGCATGGCAAATATCTTTCAATCACATATATAAAATCAGACAATCAGCTGCTGATTTATTATCGCTTATGAGCTTTTTTGACCGGCAAGGAATTCCCGAGGCTCTACTTCGAAAGCGAAGTGAACAGGATGGGGATGAAGATATGGATGAAGATGACACATCGCAATCCACTGTGGATGATGGTTTTGACGACGATGTCTGGACCCTACGAGATTACTCGTTTATTTCTGTCAACGCGAATGGCAAAACATTCGAAATGCACGGACTAGTACAGTTAGCCACCCGGAAATGGCTTGAAGCTCACGAGCAGATGGAGAGGTGGAAACATCAGTTTATCAAGAATCTTGACGCACAGCTTACAACGGGAGAGTACGAGAATTGGGAAAGGTGTCAGGCACTTTTCCCACACGCGCAATCGGCAGTATTGCAGAAGCCTAAGGAACAAGACTCTCTACTTGACTGGGCTTCCGTATTATACAAGGCTGCATGGTATGCTGGCGAAGTAGGAAAAGGTGTAGAAGCAGAGAACATGGCGGTGAATGTGATGAAAGTTCGAAAGAAGATTCTCGGTGATGAGCATCTTGATACACTAAAGGGGATGGCAATGGTGGGCTCGGTGTACAGGCTGAATGGCCGGTGGGATGATGCTGAACAGCTGGACGTGCAAGTCATGGAGACGAGCAAGACGAAGCTCGGAGTGGACCACCCT